CTGGCGAAATAGCCACAAGGCAGCTGAAAACTGTATATTCCCTTCCTGTTCTTCTGCACGTTCGTGCATTCTTTCCAAAAATTGGGGCTTTTTAAAAACACCACAGGACATAGGACAAATTGTTAAAAAGCGGGACATCTGGTCACCCTAGTTTAAACCCACTCAACCCTTGATTCCTTATTTTTCTCCTCAACATTACTTCTTCCTGGCACCATCCCCCTCACACCAGAGATCTCCAAGCCCCGGTTTCAAACTGATAACTCTGAGATGCCTGTGGGGACTGGAGTTGGCCAAAATCTCAGAGAATGCCGACACTCTACTGCCCAAAAGTCAAGAGAAGTGGAGAGCTTTACGGATTCCACCAAGCATGGAAAAGTCAGGTGGCCTGAAGCAGCAGGGAGGCCTGGAAAAGCAGCGAGATAAGGACCTGGAAAACAGGTCCAGGAAGGCCCTGCTGAGTCTCACCTGGGAACTCACAGCCCAGTGGTGGGGGCAGAGTCCAGATTGCTGAGGGGTGAGAAGGGAAGGCCAGGTGGGGGTGGGGTGGATGCTTTGGCCTGGAGAACTTGTTCGGGAAATTTGGGAAGGGGGAGCAGATCACAAGGTCTAGAGAAGTGTTTATTGCTGTCCTGCCTGTTTTGTGAGCACTGGAACACAGGATCATGCTTCTAGCCAGAGGGACAGAAGAAGACAGGAGAAGTGAAGGAATACATTTCCTGAACTGATGGGAGGCCCTGGGGTCCTGAGTGTGGGGTAACACAGGGAAGGAAAGAGGAAACACGGCAAAACTGAGCAAAAGCACGCCTCTACTTAGCAGGCCGAAAGCTGGGTAAGCGCCCACCTGACGGCCTCTACTCCCCGCCTCTACTCCCTCTGTAAAGAGGGAAGCACCTGCTGAAATTCATGTAGGGAGGGAGAGCTATTTGCTAAGTTCCCAGGAATTCTGTGAGTGGGTTAATAAACTTGGCCATTAAAATGATGGCCAAAGTGAGAACATTTATGCCATGGAAGTTGGCACTTTTTTGTGTGTATGTGCCAGTCTATCAGTGCACTACTGCGTCAAGAGACTTGATTAAAGAGGGAGATTCAAAAGGGGATGTGGAGAACAATGGCGGTGATGTGGGCGGACCATGTGGGATGAACAGCATCGCTGAGGAGCTCTGGACGCCCAGGTCCTCTGGCAGCTGTGCTCCACTATTGGGGTGCAGAGCCACAAAGACCATATGGCTGAGTGGAGCTGACTCTGGGGAGTCTGCGGGATGAGTGTGATGGGGCCTGAGGAGAAGGAGTTGAAATATGACCAATAAGGGGGTTGGGGAGGTGCCCTGGGGTCTAGCTGGGATGAAGGTGAGGAGGCCAAGAAGAGGGCCCATAAAGTGGGAAAAATAGGGGCACTGAAGGGACTAGAGGTCTTTTTCTTTGAAACAGAGTCTCACTTTGTCCCCCTGGGTAGAGTGCTGTGGTGTCATAACTCACAGCAACCTCAAACTCTTGGGCTCAAACGATCCTCTTGCCTCAGCCTCACAAATAACTGGGACTACAGGCACTCACCACAATGCCCGGCTGCTTTTAGAGACAGAGTCTCACTCTTGCTCAGGCTGGTCTAGAACTTGGGAGCTCAAGCAGTTCACCTGCCTTGGCCTCCCAGAGTATAGGATTACAGGCGTGAGCCACTGTGCCTGGCCTGGGGCTGGAGGTCTTAATAAGGTCACAGGAGTGACAGGAGGGATACACTTACCACTTAAAGGACATTGCAATTTTAGCTTTCAGAGGAAGGGCAGCTTCAGATGGTGACAATATTAACATGGGTAGGCCCTGGGTTGGATCAGGGATGGTGAGCTACTTTGTGAGTAGTGGATGTGTAACTCTGAGAGGTATGTGGCTTGCCCAAGGTCACACTGTCAGCAAATGGTGGGACCCCCAAGTACTCTGACCTTCTCCTGGCCCTATCTCAGCAAGTGGCCTTCTGGGGCTCTGCCCATGATTTCCTGTCTGGAAATTTTCTGACTCTGACTCTGTCTTGGAAATATGCAGAGATAAAAACCAAGACCAAAGGCTGGGCATGGTCTCATGCCTGTAATCCTAGCACTCTGGGAGGCTGAGGCAGGTGGATTGCTTGAGCTCAGGAATTGAAGACCAACCTGAGCAAGATTGAGACCCTGTCTCTAAAAAGTAGCCAGGGATTGTAATAAGAGACTGTAGTCCCAGTTACTCAAGAGGCTGAGGCAAGAGGCTTGCTTGAGCCAACGAGTTTGAGGTTGCTGTGAGCTATGACAGCACAGCACCCTACTGAGGGC